AACAACACTGGATGAATCCCTCACCTACCTCTCAGTGTGGGCCAAGCATAGGAAAGAGTCTATCCACTTGTGCTGTAGGACACTGGACATTGAAGTATCCTTTCAGAATATCAGAAAATTCCTACAATCAGTGGACCTTGACTGTATCCAGGAGCTGGAGGTGAGTTGCCATTGGAAGCTGCCTACCTTGGGACAGTTTTCTTTTTATCTGGCCCGTATGAGTCACCTTGAGAGACTCCTTGTCTCCTACTTCAGGACACCTGCCTACCTTTCCCCAATGATGGGGAATAATTACGTGCTTCAGTTTGCCAATGCATTTGTTAACATGGACCGTCTCCAGAAGCTTGATCTGCACTCTGATTCCTTCCTTGAAGGCCACCTGGACCAGGTGCTGGATCAGGTGCCTCAAGACCCCACTGGAGACCCTCTCAGTAAGCTGTAGGCTTGTAGAATCAGACATGAGCCATCTGTCGTGGTGCCTGACCCTCACTCAACTAAAGCACTTGGTCTTGACTAAAGTGAAACTGACCCAGACCCTCTCAATAAGCTGCTGCAGGCTTGTAGAATCTGATGTGAGCCATCTGCCGTGGTGCCTGACCCTCACTCAACTAAAGCACTTGGTCTTGACTAAAGTGAAACTGACCGATTTCAGCCCTGAGCCCCTTCAATTTCTGCTGGAGAGAGTCGCTGCCACTCTGCAGACCCTGGACCTGGATGACTATGGAATCTCAGATGCCCAACTCAGAGTCATCTTGCCTAGCCTGAGCCACTGCTCCCAGCTCACAACCTTCAGCTTCTGCAGGAACCAGATCTTCATGCCAGCCCTGGAGGACCTGATACACCACACTGCTGGGCTGAGCAAGTTTAACAGGGGGCAGTACCCTGTGCCTCTGGAGAGTTATCATGCTTCGGGAACTTTCTACCGGGAAATACTTGCCCAATTTGCAGCTAAGTTGAGGCGGACACTGAGGGATTCGCAGACAAAGAAGATCTTCTTTGGCCCAGTCCCCTGCACTGAGTGTGGCAACAGATTCTTGTATGATCTAGACATGGTTCGGCAGTGCTGCTGAATGACCATCTAGTTTGGTTGGGTGGATGCACCACACTCTGCTGCACACTGGGAAGCTGAAACCTGGGACTTCAGTGCATCCTAAAGAGAGCACCGAACCCAGCATTGTAGACACCTGCTCCCAGTCAAAGTGGGAGAGGGACAGTGATGCAGCAGGAGGAAGGACCTGGGGGAAAGGCTGACCGTAGGAGCCATTGGGACCTGTGGGGACATGTGTCCTAGATAGTCAGAAATAGGAATCAGGGCTTGGGCCTGTAGCTCAAGTGGCTAAGGCAACAGACACATACACCAGAGCTGGTGGGTTTGAATCCAGCCCGGGCCTGCCAAACAACAATGATAACCAAAATATAGCCGGGCTTTGCGGTGGGCACCTGAAATTCCAGGTACTTAGGAGGCTGAGGCAAAAGAATCACTTAAGCCCAAGAGTTGAGGTTGCTGTGAGCTGTGACCACCATAGCACTCCACCGAGGGCAATATAGTGGGACTTTGTCCAAAAAAAATTTAAAAATAAAAGATTAATGGGGTGGCGCCTGAGGCTCAGAAGAGTGATAGGTTCAAACCCGGCCCTGGTCGAACTGCAACAACAACAATAAATTAATAAAAGAAATAGGAATCAGAATTTCTAGAGCAGGATTGAGGCTTGATATGAGGAGTCACCTCTGCATGGATGGATGTAAATAAACAGGGCAGGGCATGAAGGCTCACGCCTGTAATCCCAGGTCTTTGGGAAGCAGAGGCAGGAGGATCACAAAGTCAGGAGTCCAGGCTGCAGTGAGCTATGATTACAGCACTGTAGTCCAGCCAGGGTGACACAGTGCCCTCAAAAAAAAAAAAAAAAAAGAAAGAAATTCCCAGCATCCTGGGAGGCTGAGGTGGGTGCGGTACCTGAGCTCAGGAGTTGGAAACCAACCAGAGCAACAATTAGATCCCATCTCTAAAAAGTAGTTGGGTATTGTGGGCACCTATAGATCCTGCTACTTGGGAGGCTGAGGCAAGAGGATCACTTGAGCCTGTTATACTCCCTATGGCCTGAAAACAGAGTCAGACCCCCACTTGGATGTAATTAATTGGCAATTTATTTTACCTGCCACAGGGGCTGCTGCACTGGGTGTCGGCAGCAGTGAAGAAGGGGGTGGGTTGTCTTTTTATGGTCTTGTGCAAGCATACTACAGAAGGGAAACGTGGCTGGTTAAGGGGAGTTACAGCCCGGGCAGTCATGCATACAGCAATGGTTACAGTCACAATGATTAATACAGCTTTGGCTGACAATGGATCACAATGGTTATAGTTAGGTAACCATGATTAATACAGTCTTCGTTTCCACCATAAAAAAAAAAGTGGGTCCTAATCAAACTCTTACCAATTCTGGTGCTTCTACAATTCTCTATGAACCTTTGCTTTTCTTCATACTCTGTAGCATTTTTAAGGGAACCTTTGACAGTAAACACCTAGTGGGTAGGTGGGGAGGTGAATAGTAAGAAAGGAAGGACTTTGAACCTCAAGAGAAACAGGTGAGGCTTTTCTACCAAAAAGCATTGGTTTTCTAATACTAAACTTTTATTATAAAGAAATAAACATTTATTCTGGCTGCTCCCATAACATTTTAGCTAGGAAGACAACACATCTCAGGTTTAGGTACTTGAAAGGTGTAAACAAGGGTTCCCAGAGACCAGGCAGCAGGAGATATTCAGACCAGAGATTTTTTAAAATTTTTATTAAATCATAACTGTGTACATTAATGCATTTATGAGGTACAATGCACTAATTTGATATACAATGTGGAAAGCTTACATCAAACTTGTTAACATAACCATCACCTCATTTACTTATTTGTTGTGGTAAGGCATTTATACTCTACTCTTAATAGTTTTAAAATGTACCATTGCATTATGCACAATAGATGAGGTCCCATCAAATACACTCCCTCCTGGCCTTCCCCACCTCCCTCTTCCCTCTTTGTGGACTATAGATAAAACTATAGTCCGGACCAGGTTTATTGAAAGAGGAGGGTGACCTGTAAAGATGGTGTCTGCACCTTGGAGCAGTTAGAGGCCCCTTTTAAAGGGGCTGTAGGGAGTGGGCACATTCCTTGGGTTGCCTGTCAGGTTAGGGTCCTTTGGCGCAAACTTCTGTGGGGTGGGGCTAGCCAGATCCTTTGTCTTTCTCTTAGGAGGAAAGGAGGAAGAGGGGAAAAAGGTTTGTGTGTAACTGCATTAGGCCCCCCGATATTCTCAACTCCTATTAAAAGTAGTGATGGGATGATGGTTTATCTTCTGAAACTGCTTCTGGCTGGATAGGGCTGCAGTTTTTCCTCAGTGGGCTGAGTTGGGTCTTGGTAGGGCTGCATGAGTTTGGGGTACATTGGGAGAGGGTGTGGGAGTGGTAGAAATTGGGTGGCAAATTCGGCTGACATCTTTATCCTGTCTTAAATGAATGAGGACAGGAATTAGACAACAGAAGAGGCCCTAGTTAATAACAGGAGGGCTACAGTAAGAGGGGCCCACGTGGGGCCCCCCCTCTACAAACTATTGACCAGTGTCTCTCATTTTGAGATCGTAGGTGGGTAAGCTTGTCCTGGGCCCCAGGTGATGCCCTCTCCAAACAGACTTGTTAGTGTAGAAACAGCAGGTCTCCTGTGAGAAAGTATAAAGGAATTCTGGGAAGATGGCCGACTGGTAGCAACCCTCAGCAGAGGCTCCTGAGCAGAGGAAGAAAAACTGGATGGAATCGGACTCTATGAAGCCAAAGGTGGGGAGCTGAGCCAAGAAAGAAGTTCAACAAGCTGTAACTCCAAGGAAGAGCATTCAAGAAAACAAATTACAGGTACAAAGCCTATCAACTAGAGGACAGAGACCCCTCCCCAAGCAGGAGGCCTGCTACAGCCTAACTGCGAATGAGCAGGGGACAAAAGACCTCATTTTACCTCGCTGGAGAGAGCCGCTAAACTCCAGGTCTCTTTCTCCATGGAGGTCCCACTTATGAACCTAGCCACCACCCTACCAAGCATAAAATTGAACAAATATTTCCCCCTACAAGTCCAAACTCCCGGTCCACCCTTTTCCACCCTTGCATGGCAGTCTGAAGTTCTGCCCCCTACAGAGCAGAGTGTTTGGTCTTGTCCTGAGAGATCTGGGCATAGTGTGAACATTTTTGGAAAGTTTGGAGAACACTCACAGAACTAAAAGTAGACTTATCAATCGATCCTACAATTCCTCTACTAGGTATATACCCAGATGATCAAAAAATCCTTTTACAACAAAGACATCTGCACCAGAATGTTTACTGCAGCCCAATTCATAATAGCCAAGACATGGAAACAGCCCAAGTGCCCATCCACCCATGAATGAATTAACAAATTGTGGTATATGTACACCATGGAATACTAAGCAGCCATTAAAAGATGGTGACTTCACATCTTTTATGTTTATCTGGATGGAGCTGGAACATATTCTTCTTAGTAAAGTATCTCAAGAATGGAAAATAAAGCATCTGATGTACTCAATACTACTATGAAATCAATATATAATCACCTACACACTCATATGAATGGCAAACATAACTATAGTTCAGAAAGTAGAAGGGAAGAGGAGAGAGAAGGGAAGGGGGACATGAGAGGAGGGAGTGTATTTGGGGGAACCTCGCCTAATGTACATGCAACGGTACATTTCAAAACTATTAAGAAATGAGTATAATTGTGATGGATGTGTTACTTAGTTCAATGTAAGCATTTCACATTGTACACCAAAGCAGTACCCTGAACCCCATAAATGCATCAATGTACAAAATTATTTAATAAAAAATAAGTATAAAGGCCCCTTCCCCTGCCATGATTAGATCTAAGTCTCTAAAATGACTGGGGGGAGGGCAACTGGTAAGTAATAAAAGCAAGATGACTTTCTAGAGAACTGAGAAACTATGGAATATATAAAGGGGGTGGCCCCCCCAACAGTACTCAACCACAAATCCTGGGAAAGTAGAGAATGTGACTCAGCTGGTTAGATATTATACTCTTGATATAATGTGCCATTTTCCTGAGCTAGTGACCTCAGCAGAATTGCCTGAGAGCCGTGGGGCACCTTTCCTGAGCTGTTTTCACTGTAAACTTCCAAGTATTACCAGAAGATGGCAGAAGAGGCTAAATCATGGGACAGCTGACCCCATGGCTCAGACCTGTGAGATTACAGAACTCACTCTCCACAGCACAGCAGAAGTTGCTGTTAACCACTTCTAAGTTTAAAAAAGATTTAGATATTTAAGAAGATTCCAGTCAGGGCTCAAACAGAAACCACGAAGAGATAAGTAGTAATGATACTAACATATTAAGAGATTGGTTGCAAAGAATTGGTTTATGAAATTGGTGCTGGCAAGTTGGAAACCCACAGAGGGGCCAAGCAGAAGCTCCTGGCACAACCCAGGCAGGGTTTCTTCAGAGAAGCCTGAGCTCTGCATGCTCTTCAGTCCTTTGAACTGATTGAATCAGGCACATCAGGTTACCTAGGAGAATATCCCTTATCGACAGCCAACTGATAATGGATTAATATCTACATAATACTTCCAAAGCAGCACCTAGGTTAGTGTTTCACTGAAGAACTGGGGACCAGCCTGGGCAACTTCATGTTCAAAGCCATCACGGTCTCCCCTTTATCAACTTGGCACCCACATACATCATGTTATACATACTTCATCTCCAAGAAGCTATGTACCACTGAAGACACTAGCCCTGTCCTCAAATAGGGTGTGATACACTTGGGCAGAGTCTTCTTTGATATCCTGTGACTTACATACTGGCATAAGGTCAGTGATGCTGTTCTTGTATCCCTTTGAAATCTAACAATATATTTGGTTAAATTATATGCAGACATTCATGATGAAGTAATATGCCCCTCACAGACTTTGCTTCCACACCTTGTCACACTTACAGCCACCTATTCCATATTTCCTTTGCCCCAAGCACTCTGGCTGGCCAGGGCTCTTTGGTTCAGAGTATATCCCAAACTTCTA